GGTTACCTATCCAGTTTCAGTTTCAAACAACTAAAGTGCATTCGTTGCCAGCTCAGAGGGCAAGAGTTGAAAAGTACTGTTTTGGTGTGCGTACTGATTGGTAAGCCAACGACTGTTGCTGTAATTTACAGTACAAATTTAACCATCTGGACAAGTCATTCTATATATCCACCGCTGAACACCTGTGCGTGGGACACTGACCTCCCAGCTGTTTCGGAATAAATTATGGTCGAGTATTCAGTTTTGCCTGTCACAGCTGAATGGTGAGCAGATCATTCTGGATATTTGGAGTGAGTTAAGGTTTAAAGCGCTCAAAAACTTAAAGCCATCAGTAAAGGATAGGTGAGATTAAAAACTAGTTCCGGTAAGAAAGGTTATTGATTTCACGTAAGACTGACAGGTCAAACTAACTGAAATCCAAACAGCTACCGAAGGGAGCATAGTGGGACACACGTTAACTGATACACTTTAACTGAGTCGGAATTAGGAGGTGGCATGCCACGCAGCAGACTTGCGTTGTATGTTTGATTGACGTAGAATGTACGCTAATGAGTGTTGGTCTCCATTTCCGCCGACGACGGCACGCCATCTCCCATTCAGATGCCCCACTTGGCATCACAGTCATTCTCGATGCAAACAGTACGCATGCTGCATATGCTAGTCAAGCCGACTATTTTTGCAAAAAGGATTTTTGCAGTCTCCGTCCATGTGTGCTTAGGTGATCACTAGTTTCTATTGTCTTCACTCAGATGTCAACACAATTGTGGTTTTGATTTTATCAGACATGATTATCCATTTTTAAAAGGCACTACTTTGCGGGCGCTTCACTGCCTCTGCCAAGCCACACTGTGGGTCAGATCAAGTGCGCTGTTGAATCTGGTTTGATCTCATGAGATTCATTTGCCTACTTTGCACATGTACCGTAATCACTTGTTTTGCTCATCTTACCGCCATTCACCTTGCCGCGAAGGCAATCTCGTTCAATACTGGCATATGTGTGAAAGTGCGCGGCTGAGCTAATTACCAATGCGTGCTCGTGCCCCGTTTGCTGCGCTGCCCTGACTCACTCCGACATGGTTTTTGTGTGATCCCACCGCCAATCAGAACAACGAGACTGCCCCAGGAAGGGGCGACCGCAACGCACACCAGAGAACCGCTCGCTGATGTTTGGTTTGCGGACACTGCACTGTGCTGGTGAGTGACATACTTGCGCACGTGCTGACGCCACGAACGTGGACCATTGACGTTATTATATAGCCTTGCCTACCTTTGTGTAAACAGCACTGTAGACTTTCGAGTCTAATTCTTCCCTTTGGTATTCGGGTCGGTCAAACCTAAGCATGACTGGAACTTCCGTATCGAGAACCCTTAATATGTGTTGTCCCACAGCTACCACTTTCTACATAAAGACGGCCTTCAGTTCGTCCGAGAGGTAAATCATCTCAATTCAAACAGAGGAATTCATTGATTGTGGATGAGAGTAAGGGACTCTCCTGTTCACAAAGTGCATGTTGATTCACCGACAAACGCTTGGACTACGGTGTGAACCCCCATGTGTTAGTCATTTTAGACCGATAACGTCATCGTTGTGGAAGGGTTTGAGTGCATTTTCAGGTTGAGCTTTTAAATTATTCTGCAGTTTTCCCTTTCTGAGATAGTAAAAACCAGCATTACTGAGGAGGACAGCTTCCACTAGGTAGTTAGCTTAAAAATCAGACAATCGCTTCCGAAAGGGCACAACGCAGTATGCGTCGTAGCCCCAGACAACGGTAGTTGCAGAAAGTGAATTTAGCCCTGTTGCCGAACTTACAATGCCCAAAACAATCAGTCACTACAAGTGACACGTCATTCGAATTATTGAAACTTATAATTTTAGAAAGCCAAGTGACGAATTTTGTCCAATAATGTAGGCATTACACCAGTACTGCTGATGCTACAATGAACAGCAATATGCATCTATACGAGACAGTCAGGTGATCAATACTATGCGGATTCCCAGGAGGACAGCATCCTCAAGAACTCCGTCGGTATTGCGGAATCTGTTGCGCGGTCCACACAAACATCACCCTCTTATACTGCACCTCCCCATTAGTGCTCTTTATGGGTTGAGAAACCACCGAGGTTCGTCTCGCTACACAGACTTGTGGATAGAAAAAACGGGAGTGCTTTGTTTTTAGAGTTCATGCTGAGGGCCTGTGTAAATATGTTAAGTCACTGTTAACCGAAGTGGATTTTAATCAAGGCCCGAGTAATCATAAAAATACAGGCAATGTCTGCGTGAAATGGCGTTTGCTTTTTTATCGGGAGATTTCTGAGAACTCAGTAGCCGGTGAGGGTACACAAAGTTTGAGAAACTTCCCAAAACATGCCAGTACCTTTTATCAGATTCTGATGGGTATTAATGGGTTTGAACCTCGTCAACTGACTTAAGCCGTGCTGACTGTGATACCTGTTAGGAACTGTACTGGTCTGCTGGATGTCACATTCAGATTTGTCTGCCGATTCAAAATTTATGCATGTAGCTCTATTAAAAATACGCATTTTCTAGAGCGATTTGATCCCCATTTGAGCCATATGAAGCCAGACAAGTTGTGAAAATCAGAGTGAGTAAGAACGGAAAGGCAGCTAAAGCTATTATCATTCCCAAGCAATACTTCATGACTGTCGCATCAGGCGGAGCCATTTAAACAGCTGTGTCTCATAGTGTATGCTACCGGTGAACTCACAGCTCACATTGCTCATAAAATCATATTTTAGTAAGCCAAAGACGGTGTCAAAAAGTCAAAATAAGACAACATTTCCAGTGACGAAATGCTACGCTGAGTACAGCCCGTTATAAAACTAAAAGCTGTAACATGCAACAGCGCTGCAGAGCTGGCCTTAAATGAATCATTACTGCTAAACTCCAACACAAGCGATTTGGTATTGATAATAAACAGTTATTCAGATAACTACTGTCTTTTCCTATGCTTGGTCAATATGAGTCCGTGATATACGCTATATATATATATATATATTAATCAATAAATTAAAGGCACTCTCTAGACTGCCACCGCACAGTCAATTCAAATTTAGTTCATCCAAGCCTATCTGACCATGTAAAGTGTGTATCACGTTTTTGTCGACCTTGCACATGCCAGCGAAAATTGCGCATGTATCACTCATAGCCATTTTTGAAAGTCTGTCCAAACTAGGAGCTTATAAATCTCTCGAATTGTGGCCATGGACCACGCCCATTGGTATGTTGCGGTATGAGAAAAAAATTGAAAATTCACTCTAGTGAGGATTTAGTCAACACGTACGGTTGATTTATTTAGTCGGTTCAGTTGAGCTTTGTGTTAATCTTGAACGCCATGCAATAGTATATGTTACAAGAGTGAGACTGGTTTATCGATTCTGATTAATCTTTGAAAGCCATTTTCGCACAAGTAAGAAGGGCAGGGCAGACAATCCATGTGCATTCAGTTGAACACAAACCCAGACAGCTGTTGAAAGCAAACTAATTGGTATCGATTTCATAGTGGACTCCTAAAAATCGACGTCAGCTACTGGTTTCCAAACCACGGTGTGTTCCCATGTCTATGAAGGATGTGAGCATTCAGCTACTTTTGGTAAGCAAGGAGGGACCATAGTGTCTCCTGTTTTTTTGCAAATAACTGCAAGTATATGACTGTTGGTTTTGGTGAACTCACTTAGACGTTACTGTAAATTTTTCATCTCGGTAACCAAGTGAGCCTCGTTCAAAATCCTATTCCTAGGGTCATAATGGGTTCAAATTCGGCGCCTTCAGATTCAACTAAGGCAATGTCAGTCGTCTGATCTTCACTGCAAGTTGATGCGTTTGTTTTAAAATTCGGAAATTCTGGAAATACAACAGACCCCTTTTGGACAAGCTGGGATTGCTCAATCATTTTTCCGCTTGTTTACACACATTTCAGATTGGAGAGATCGTTTAACTTTCTGAGATACAGCCCTCAACTGGGTATTTGCAAAATCGATTCTGGGAGCATTCCTCGATATCTGTGCTTAAAGAAATCATGGGAGCAAAATAGGATTTCTCAACCCAAGCAGTCGGTTGAATGATATTTCGGCTTTTGGGCTAATCAGAGTTGTTTTCGCAAAAGAGTTTCAGAAGGAAAATCGTGGATAATTCCCACGGACCTCACTGATTTAAATTGTTTGCAATTAATTAGGAAATCAATAGTACCGATTGAGAAGTCATCATTTCAGAAGTTTGAAAAACTTCTCGTTTGGTTTTCTGGCTTTTTGTAAGTGATAATTAATGTATTACTTTCGAGAGTCTAGTACCGGCTATTTTACCGTTCAAAGGCCACACCTCAAGAAGAAAAAAATGAAATTTCGCAGACATCTGGACATACAATGTCCTAAGAATTATGTAGTACTGACACAGAACAAGTAGTATTGGGACATCAAAATCGGGAGTTAAAGTGCGCAAATAAGACGCACATCAGGAGACACAATCCAACATAGTAGGTTTTCAGTATATAAATAACGGATGCACGAAAAATCAGCCTTTTGCTTACTGCTGCATCCACTCATGAGGCTCTCAATGATCAAATCTGCAGCTTTTCTCGAGGGAAAATTAGAACACAACTACTGGAAAACTGCATCCCAGCAGCACTGTTTTTCATCGAGTCTGGAGAGCTACTTAGATAATTTCAAAGCTAATCTCCGCTAGGAAGGACCACCATAATATGCACTGTTCAGCAGTTGTGTACGATTTGGTGAGCGATTTTCGCAAGAGCATCCTAGCAGAGCCAGAATGCATCTACAACCGGGTGGGTAATTAAAGTCACGAAGGTTGAGGGCATAGAATTACGAGGTGAACTGGAATATTCATCAGAGACAGTTAATGTGAGACAATGAATAGAGCTAAAGGATATCTGCAATGTTGTAGGGAGCAAATTAGATTGTAAAATAGTGATGCACAGCTGAAGGAAAATGGTATTACTCGAAGGTCGACGAATGCACACACTCACCAGGAAGTATGAAGTGTCTTCATCTGCATTAGCTGGAGCACCATACACCTCGAGTGCGTATTCACCAGCCGATGGTAAGAAGGCGGTGATGACACAAGTTGGCACTGGATGACCCACAACAGTGCCTGTTGACCCACCGCTCTTCACTGACGACAGTGTGTTTGCGGGACATGCGTCCACGGNACAACAGTGCCTGTTGACCCCCCGCTCTTCACTGACGACAGTGTGTTTGCGGGACATGCGTCCACGGTACGCACCAATATGCATCCGTTCAATTCGGAGGTTTCATGAAGCAAAGATTTTAGACGTGCAGTCATTCTGACCAGTTTTTCCGTCTGCATTTGAGAGTTTGAGCAGCAAATTTTGTAATGTAACCAGACAGTGCCACAAGTATGTTAGAGTTCTATGCAACTAAGTGTGATGAAAGAAACATTTTTCATACCTTTTTTAACCGCACACCATCAACTGGGGACTTGCATGGAGGGTAGAATGTGAACCTTAGTTCGGTACACGTTTGGTGGACTGCATCAAAGTCCAAAAGACTGTTAGGTTGACCACTGTGTTAACAGGCTTGAAATCGATGCATTCTAATGTCCACTTATAGCAAAATCTAGATTCATTAAGATTCGGCCAAATGTCGTTTATTTGAATTGCCAGTTGTTAAGTAGCTTGTTCTAGTGATGACACGAGTTCGTCTCATTTGAGCGTCACCCTAGACAGTCTGGCGGCATCAATACAGTGAAAGTATGCACTGCGAACTAACTGTAAATAGCTCAGTTCCGATACGAATGTCCCCCACAGCAGATGGAACATTCACCAACTTCATAGGGTCAGGGCGAATCAAGATTATGCGGTGGACCGGGCAAGCATATTTTAGAAATTCATATTCACATGTGCAAAAGACGTAATGGTGCATGAATTTACATTTTACATTCTGGACTGGCCTTCGGTTAGCAGCTCAAAATGAATTGGAAGACAGACTTCACTCAAGAACAAAGAAACTCAAGCGATACATGAAAGGAGCAAATTGAAGGAGATTTTGTAGATTTCATATGCGTATAAATAGTGAACAGAATCGTACAAAAAATTGTGCGAAGCGGATATTGGAATTATAGAGTTCTCCGGATTTTAATTACAACCAGAATAACGGGTAGACGAAGAGGTCTTGCCTGAACACAACAAGATAGAGAATAATCAAAAGCTGTCTTACGTGTTTTTATCTTTTCTCATGTGACATTAATGTGACGAAAACGGCCCGCATTTAAGACTTCTGTGCGCTGTTCCAGGATAAACAGAATACTCATAATTCAGACAGAGCGTTGAATGGCTGGCATTAGAAATATCCACTCAGTTTAGCACTGATTGCTTTTGATGAATGCGGTAGGGTTTTACTCAATCTCCACTTACCTTAACCCTCATACTTTTTTTAGGATATGCGAATAAAACGGACAGGACAGAACTCCAGAAGTTTTAGTGGAAATCTCTGGATTTCTTGCCAGATGTCGCTTAGATTGGAAGGAAGGGGCTGGTTTGCCAGTCATAGTCTCCTTGAACGTGGACACCTTCCAGAATATACCAAGATTTCAACCGACTTATGCGATTCATCTTGCCTTATTGCTTCGGCTTAAATAGGTAGCCTATGCCTTACAACCTGACACAGATGGCACCAACACACCCCAAAACGGCATATGTTCAGTCACCCATAAACAAATGACTTACCGGATTAGTCATTGCGAACCTCACTTCAAACACTCCATCGGTACTTTTACGTATGGCATCCATATCTGGGGGCAATATTTTAACCTTCAAATCGCTAGCTTTTTCTGTCGGTCCATAGTGTGACTGCGCAGTGGGTGGGAATGGCGGAATGTTGATGCTTCCAGGCTTTTCGGATGGCTGTGCCGAATCGTGCCCTTTGGCCTCTACCCGGTATTCACATATGTCTGTGAAGAGCTGTTTAGTCACGAGAAGCAGGAGGGAGAATGTAGAATATTAGAGATCTCCAATTAGAAATACTGTCCAGAATATCCTCATCAATGCAAAACAGCATGAAACAGCTTCCATTGATCAACTAAATAATTAATTAGTAATATCCGAAGCAATAGCTGCGGTGTATAACCTACTGTTTACGAAAGGTTAAGCCAGCAAAGAGAAAGTGGATGTACCGCGCGAAGTTCAAGATAAGAGACGATGTTCTCGGAGGTCATAAGAGAATGCAAGACTTCTTTCTTTGGTTGGCTTCGATATTATTGGAGTTCATATAATATACCGTTATAGTTTATAAATAGCTATTGAGAAACTTGCTTTGCTTTTGCAAAATAGGGTCAGCAGCCATGAACTTCACACAAGGTGTCACGATGAGCCAACCCGGTGGTGCTCAGAAGCTCTAAGCATTGCGGCTAGATTACACAGGACTGCGTAGGTCGGATTTCACTCAGTTGCATGGTAAGTGTCGTAGGTCCTTCAGACAAAATACCGGCAAGCAACTCTGCATGATTTACCTTGCTGTTCGGATGAGCATTTCCGATTCGAGAGGCAGGCGAGCTGTAGAGTTAATCACAACTGGGTTCTAGCGATATGCAGTAGTAAGATCCAATCGTATTGTTTTCACTTGAGGTTAGTTTACTCACCTTCTGGGTCTACATCTTAACACACTAGATATTGACCAATATGTTTTACTTAGTTAACGTGATCGCTGCGCTAACGCCCTAATGCGAGATGGCTCGGTGGTTGGAGCGGGAAGGTCCGTGGTTCGAACCCGACCTCCGCATCTCAACTTCTCCTGTATAGGCTCGGGTGGCTTGGTACTATCCCAGCCCTCGTGCTTCCTTCGGGTGGCATAGCATCAAAATCGTGTTGCAGCTGAACGACTGTTTGACTATTGTTATACACAGAACTCTATAAAATGACAAACCACTCGTGTGCAAACAAGGATCACTTGACTCTCGCCAGGCTTCGTAACTGCCATTTATACGTATCCGATTGAAAGGAGTTGGCTGGTACGCTTACTTTATAAAAAACATAAGGATATGAAAAACTTTGTAGGCATGCAAAGGAGATAACACATTATGTATCAAGACGCTGGCTTGTTGTGTTTCCACAACCATGAATATCTGCGAACGTAGTCAAGGCGTTTCGGGGTGAAACAACAAGAGGAGGGGATTTCCAATGAAAAATAATGTTCAATATGGTTTTACCTATTTCCATAGCAACCGTCCAGAAAAACAATAGTATCTTTGGGTCGTTTTTAACAAAAATGATGTTACTTCGCAGCCTTCACATTGTGAATACTAGTTTTGCCACTCGCCCCACCCAAAATATTTCAAGATAATTTGTCACCGTTCCTCCGTCTCTTTGTGTCACGTATGTTTAATGTGTCCCGTCACAAGTTCGTAGAAATACTTACGACGTTTCTCTAAGTTGACATAATTTGAGCTTAAAAAGCTAGGGAACAAATGATTAGTTTTTGGACATCCTCAGATGTCTTTTGGTTCTCTACTTTATTTGTACTGATTCCGTTTGACGCTGTAACAAATCCGTCAAATCTGTCTTTAGTCTACCCGAAATTATGATGGAATCTTTTCAAACGTTTCGCTCCGTAGCTTTAACGAATCGAAATTCTGCCACCTGATATTCAACTGCTTGTGTTAGTTTCCTGTTGTGAAGGGAATCCGGTAAATTTGAAGGATAGATGTTTTTCCATCTCTCCGATGAAGTCAGTGTAAAACTTAGTCTTGTTGGGATGATGAGGTGTGCAGTTTTAAACAACGGCCGAATTTATATCATCAAATTCCAAAATAATCTTGGCTCTCAAACGGCTAAAACACGCTTGCAACAGAGACCGGTGCCGATAAACAGCGCAGACTCGACAGAATTCAAAGAACTAGTGAAATTTCAGGTCAGCATTATAAACGGACAATTTGGAACTTTGCCGTTTTGGCGATCATAATCTTATGGTAAATTTAGTTAGATATCAAAAGATCATCAGTAGCTTGGAGAATGTGAGAAATGGAGAAGTGTCTCCGTTTGTTGAAGGGAATATTGTGAGGCGACTCAGGAGGTCAAAATTGAGGAACGGAAAAAAATTTGACGGATATATCTAAATTCGCTACGCACGTACGTTTTGGGTTGGTTTCGTCTATTCTTTTCTTTTGCCCCGTACTCACAATATTGAATAGTAGCCACTCTGCAGTTTTCGCGTTTTTTGCGTGCTGATTTTTTTTATATATCCGAATAGGGGATTAAATGTTTTTACATATTTCCTGTTCCCTTAATGACTTTTACGTTCTGTTTGAACTATTAATCACAAAATCTGATGTCACTCATCCCAAACATGTCTCTCAGCTCCTAATGGGCTTTCCAACAGTTTGCCATATCCTGTAGGGAAAAGAACAAATTACTCTGTGTTCCCGTACGACTTTTTAATTCAGAACATATCTGCTCTGGAATTCGCCATGACAAGAGTCATTCATGCACCATACTGCCTGTCACAGTAGACAAGATCCTGTTTGAAAGCACAGTAACTGATCGTTCATGCGACAAAAACGGATATTTTCTAGCTTGTTCCAATTTGTCAGAGCTGGTCAATCCAACGCGCACCTGGGCGCAGACGTCGAACCGTAAAATCACGAGGGTACTGCATTCAAAGAATAGCACGCCTGCCATTTTATTCTCACATCAGACAGTTTTCAAAAATGCGTAGTAGAACAGACGACTCTGTCAAGTTAAAATGTCTTTTTCGTGTGTTTCCACACTATACTTTGGTGGATGAATGCTGGCCTTGAACATGTTGGTAGACAACTGAGCAAATGCTTCACCAGTTACTCACACGCAAACTTATCAGTCAGCACGAAGAACACACAATTTCGCGGTGGCTGAGCAGATGGCATATGCAATCGATAAAGACTCACCGGATCTCCAACTTTGCGCGCATACATGGTTAGCTTATAGGCTCCAGTTTTTGGAAATCGGAAGCTGAATGTTACCGTGCAGTCTCGAGGAGATATCTCGTGCATCCCAAATCGCGAAAGATTGACACCCTAGAAACGGACCGGGGCAGATATGGTGGGGGAATAAACAAGCAGAAATCCAATCTCTGATACATTAATGGAGCCTTGTACTTTTGCAGCAAACACAATTTTCTCTTCTACTTTACAACAACGTGTTTGCCGATCCAGTTAATGAGATTAGGGGGCACAGAAACAATAGGCTTGCTACTCAGTACTTACTTTTCGAACCTATACAATGTAAAATAACCCCAAAAAGTTATGCGAGCCTGCGGAGGGAATTACTTGCTTAATGGGTGTAAACAAACACTAAATGTTCAAAACATTTATAAAGAGCTAAGCCAAAGGACCGGTATGATCGAGAAACTATGGCACCCACTGTGCCACGCCGCGTAATGTCGCTGGAGGAGGTAAGACAAAAGCGTTGGGTTGACCGATTTCTAATCCATCTATGAAGACACAAACAAGACAAAGCACATAGAAGAAATCAATACTATTCTTAAAGTCGATAAAAAAACTGGATAGCTCTTTCTTAGACTCATTAAGCTGTCCGAAAATTTCCGCCAAACTTAATTCCCACCTGAACACCAAATTCTACGTTTGTTGCAATAAACAATTCGTCGATTAAGCTAGTGCTGACTTCATGTGAAACATAGGGTCAAGACTAAAGACCACTGCTCAACACTTCGGAATCTTGAACAGCTTTTCAACTGAAACTTGAAGTGGCCTTTGTGTGGCACATTCAGTTTAAGACCAATATAAGCCTTAGATTCAGACAAGTTTCCCACCAACACCAAACAAACCAATTTGCGAGTGACTACCGCAAATGGTGGGATACAGTGTTCTCAGGCCTGAAACACCTTGAATATATTCTTCCCAGGATTCGACTGCAATCGGAAATTTTCCACCTGAAAGCTTTTTCTGTCTACCGCTTTTGTACTGGTGGTGAGTATCAAGCTCTCCAATTATCATTTGCTTCGCGTCAGTTAGTAAATACCAGGATAGCGATGTATCGATAGGCTTCTTTAGCAAAATGGCCGTTTCCAGGAGGCCTTGGGCGTCATGCTGGAGTTATTTCCATTTTTTCCGAGACAGCAAGGTGACTGAGTAAACCCCCAAAATGAATAATCTCCGCATTTTCACCGTCCTCCTCATCATCATCATAATCATCATCAGAGACAGCAGCAAAATTGATACACTGCTGGCTTACAAACAAAAGGCCTTTCCATTATATTTAATGCCTCGTAATAGAATAAAAGGTTAGACGAGAGAGGAGTGTGACACTAAGCTCGGAGGTGCTTACACCTCCAAGCTCCCAATCAGACGGCATGGAAGGAAACTGACAGCAAGAACGCTGCTTACATCAATCGGCCGCCACTTCTTGCAACGTCTCCAGCCAACCGCACATGGGGGTTGCAGGGATCCCATTCTTAATGGTGGGCCACGTTGAAAACTTTCAAATACTTTTCAGTCTCTTCCACATCGTTCTGCTCAGTCATGTTTTGTTTGCTCCATCATAATGGAGGCAGGAAACCAGTACCGCTCTCGGTGGACGATGTTTCGGCATGAGCAGCACATGGCCGAGCTACCGTAAATCATGATGCTGGATGTTTTCCGCGGCTGAAGCACTTGGTGCACAACCAAATACTCGTATTCTAATTACGGACTTATGAATTCGTTAACCCCATCCGGTACTAGCAACGCTTCTGAGATGTCGGTCACTTCTTGCTCTCCAGCCAACCGCACATGGGGGTTGCAGGGATCCCATTCTTAATGGTGGGCCACGTTGAAAACTTTCAAATACTTTTCAGTCTCTTCCACATCGTTCTGCTCAGTCATGTTTTGTTTGCTCCATCATAATGGAGGCAGGAAACCAGTACCGCTCTCGGTGGACGATGTTTCGGCATGAGCAGCACATGGCCGAGCTACCGTAAATCATGATGCTGGATGTTTTCCGCGGCTGAAGCACTTGGTGCACAACCAAATACTCGTATTCTAATTACGGACTTATGAATTCGTTAACCCCATCCGGTACTAGCAACGCTTCTGAGATGTCGGTGGTTGAAGACATGGAGACGCTTGATATCATATATATGCTTAGGCCATTTCCTTCAACCAGACAGAGTTCAGAAGCTCCACTTGTGACACAATCTCTACAGACCACACAGAAGATCACTTCTACTACAAGGGAAACTGAGACTTCTTATCAAGAAAGTTTACCATTAGAAAGCGTATAGAAAGGTCAAGGTGCCAAAGCTTACAATGGGTGCTTACATCGAATCTTAACATGACTAATATTCGCATTCCGCAAAATCTCAAAACCTCGTAAAGCTGTTCGCATAAAAGTCACAACACTGGACCATCCTGCTGAGAAAATATAATTTGAGCAGCTAGACATTTTCTCCCCGTTTGGAACTACCAAACATTTACAGACAGGCTCTGTCAACTGACACTAGCAGTCCGTTTAGCTTTGTTGAATTTTGCGTAGAACGCAATTACTGTTTGCTACGATAGTCCATAATTGAGTACGATAGTCCGCCATTGGGACCGAACGAATCATTCCGGTATTCTAGCACGTACTTCTGGTCGTTTTTTAAATTGTCGCAGCCTGTTCTGATAAAAAAGCAAGCAGCAGATGATCCAACTTTTGTACCAAATGTTTTTTGTCCAGTTGATTTGCCTTGTCCATATTTCCTCTTGGAATCAAATCACGAACGCGCAAGTTTATAATGAAAATTAGGCTACCTGCATCTTGGAGAGGAGCAGATGGATTTGACTTTTTGAAGTAGCTAGAAAAAGGAGGCATTGTATTAATAAGTGGATGATCGGTGAAGCTAGTTTTTTACCAGTTTTGAAGCGTCAAAGCAGCTGATGTGGACGGAATTTTTGAAGGTGGATATAACATAAAACATTCGTGACCTTGAACGAAAGCATTTTCTCCAGCGGCCAAGTCTTAGCTATTCCTGGTGTTTGTTTGAATCTAAACGAATATATTACTACCTTCCTATGAGGGCTTCCCCGGGAATACACTCCGTCAAATGGACAACATTAAGACAAATTTACAGACCTCAGATCAACGCTCCATCCAAGTAGGTGTGTGCACCTAACACAATTATGCTGTCCGCTATAATACGGGATAGCAGTGCACGACATACATTATTATTTATGGCAGTCGAACTCCAGAAACTACGTTGAAGAAAAAGAAACTATTGTTCAGTATTTCCAGGTAGAATGATGGATGAATTATAGATGGACAGATATAAATAGATATACCCGACATAACCAAACAATGGTATTAAAGTAGAGGCTTCTGGCTAACAGCACGCGGATATTTTGACGTAACTGTTTGACAACCATCTCGGAAGGAATCAATATCAATGAAGGCGAGTTCGTTCGGGTTTAGGCAATAGATTATCTCATATGCGTTATTCTTGGCGGCGGGGTAAGTTGTTCCAGGTACTAACGCTTATTGCTACATTATTTGTATAATGTCAAAGAAGTTGTGCACTCCGGACTAAGTATAGGACAGCGTGATACAATTAGGGTTTTGGAAAGACGGTTTGTCTTCTTGTACTGACAGTTCTGTTACGGCGTTACTCGTATATCGTATTCGAAGCACAAAACGACGAATGAATATTTCACGAGAAGACACATTCACCACTTTTGTACTGGTAGATGGGTACCAGAAGAACCAAAGAAGGCTTCTAATAGATCGCTATTAGTATGGCCCGTAAGTGGTTGGTAGGTAGATTTGGAATTATTTTATCGGGTTTTAAAAGGCGGAAAAGACGCTAGTTTCTTATTATTTCATGAAATAGAATAACAGAAGGTATGAACTTGGCGTAAACAATCGAAAGTGGGGGAACAGAATTCCAGTAAGCCGGTCGCTTGTAGCATAGACTTAAAGTTCAAACCGTCGGTTGAATGACCGAAAATGATCAATTTTGATCTAGGTATTACTTACTGCTACCAGAGCAACCAGTAACGTTCATCATATTGATAAAATGCATGACGAAACAAGCATCTGCAGTAGCAAATGTTGGTACAATGAAGATATTCTCGCTTGTATGTTTGTTTATTCACCAGCATTTAAAACCTCACGAAAATTTGCTTCAAAGGAGTAATTAGATGAGACTGCTGATGAGAAGAAAGCATCCGTAGTTTTACTCATCAAGCGGTCTCAAGGAGGCAGCACTCCATCAGATAATCAGTGCTTTCGCAAGATGAGTCATTCGTTTTCTTATAATTAGATTTTACCAGGGCACTTGAATGTCGTTCAACCGAAGCGTATTCACTGACCTCAAACATCTCGTCGCGTCCATCTAGCTTCAGGTTGAACGTGAATAGCAGCACGTTAACCAAATTTGGTGGAATGGCAAGTTTGACGATGAGTCTGTCCTTCACTTGAATTACACCTTCTTGGTGAGAAAATAGACCAAGGCCGTGGGTGAAGAATGCCGGTTTGAGCAGAACTCCGTCTTGGAATTGCTGGTAGAGTAAAAACAGGATTGAATAAGCGGTAAACACGGTTGCAGAATCGATTTTGGATCAATAAATTACCAACTATCAAGACTGAAACTGTCGTAAGAACGGTCAGCCTAAAAATCGCAGTAGCTCAAACTCCGGAGATTTAGAACGGATGCTCCGCATTTTGTGTATTCTTTTGTATGTAAAATGTGAAATTTTATAAAACAAAGAAGTTAATTTCTTTCGAATTTTAGTATTTCCTTAGGAGAGCAGATGTAACAAACCAATGAAAAAACTATGGATGTTCAGTTTATGATTGCAAAGTTTCAATCGATCGTGATTGTTCCAGAAATTTTGTTTGTGGAGTGTGACTTCCAACTAGAAAACCTCTCGAGAACAACTACTCTAAGGAAGCGAAACAAACACCTTGGTCATAAAATAGTCTTTCTGTTCAAGAGAAATTGGTGTCTTACGGAAGCAAATATGATCAAAGTCGAGAGTTTTCATACTTCAAACTTCAAATTCGGCTTAATTTCTTCAACTTGATTTAGATTACAGCGCAACATGCAGTGTCTTTGGAGGTGTAGTGCAGTGGAAGGAAATCTTTTATGGCGTGAGTTAGCACTCATGTGACGGTTCAACACAGTTCTGGAATTGTGGAACCAGCTCCAAGTATGTCTTTCAAGCAAGGCCTGTGGTGAGGCAGCAGAGAAGTGAACGTTCTTCCACAGTGAGGGCAAACGAGCAGAGTACCTGTTCAGTCTTGTGCCCGTCAGGGTCACATTATTGATTATCAACGCTAAACGCCCTCATTGTTGTGGTATATTAGTACTTTTGTTGCGCTTGGTATAAACTAACTAAAGTGACAGTAGTCAGTATCATTTCGATAACCCTAAATTTGATTTTCACCTTTCCGAACTATCATGGAGGAAGGCGGCAAGACTATATAATTGTTGCATCCTCATGTTTCCTCTTTAGGAGTCCCCCTCATGGGAGTAGTGTGACATGATAAATTTTCGTTTAGTATTTCTGGATATAATTTAAATGTGGGAATTAGAGGCCTGACATGTAGAAAAGCATTCATTAAGTAAGAAGCAATCCTCAAGTTTGATAATTAAAACCAGATAATCAGTGGTATAGGCACAGACTTTGCGCATTTCGTAGTGAGACGACATGAGAGGTAGGCAAGAGAAAAGATTTGCCCATTAAAGTTAGGGACTGATTTGCAAACGCTCCTAAAATCTGGCTTTTGAAATACCGTAAAAGGTTTTTGCGGCTCCGTAAATGTTTTTCCCGGGAGGATAACCGTATGAGTTGTTCATACACTGTGTAAAATACCTTGTCATGTATGTGTGCATAAGCTCAATGAAGACTTATCTGACTATCACGTGTAAGTGCATAAAAAAAAGCCAATTTCCACTGAAATTGTTTATCTGGCACACTTGCATGAAAATGGCACGTAAATCAAAGAAAGAGGTGCGTAAGTAGATTTAGTCAATAACGATTCATTCTCACAGGTGTGTTAAAAAACAAACAAACGATTTGTAAGTTTTGGTCTGGATCCCAAGTGTAACGGTAGCAAAAAGCGTTCACATGTTTTGAGGAAGCCTTTGTCGGATTGACAACGGGCTTGGTCATGATGTGCAAATTAGTTTTGTTTGTCAAATCAGTGGTGACTTGTCTATAACCAAGTAAAATCAGTTCCGTAAATCAAGCAATTTGTGATTAAATTCATATTAACACAGTTGATACCTCCGTTCAACCCACGTAAGTCTATCCAAAGAGGTAATATATGGCATCACTGGAGTGTACAAACTGTACAATCGAATGCGTTACATCCTAACAGCTTCCATCGCTTTCACTGACAACAAATTATTTACTCTGTGTTCTGTGATAAGTTGATATTTCATTTAGCTTCAGTTAACTATTATGTGACTGGTTATAAAGAACTACTGGAGTTGCTCAGGTCGCCTATGTGATTCTTTGTCTATAAAGTAGAAAATAAATGATCGAGATTTAATTAATTTGTTTACTTTTGCAATGGGGTTAGAAATCTGAAAAGTCCTAAACAGCCTGAACAAACCTGATCAATCATCGCAAAACGTGCTAGATATCGTTCGCTTGTTCGCTGAGCTGGGCAGTTTGACTCAAAACGTTTCATTACCAATTGAGTTGATATCATCAGTGCGTTATTGGGGAGCGTAGTGGTACTACGCTTCCACAAGCACCACTACGCTCCTCAATAACGCACTGATGATATCAACTCAATTGGTAATGAAACGTTTTGAGTCAAACTGCCCAGCTCAGCGAACAAGCCAACGACTATCCACGCTACTTGAGCTACCAACATTTTCCTCTATAGACATGCTGGATCTTATCATGTGAACAAAAAAGCCGGCCGCATTAATCAACAGAAGACGCCATAATTATCTGGAGTCTATAGAGCAGAAATAATCAACCATACACACTCCCCTTTTGGGACGAGTACGGTGGATGAATTAGGACTTGGTCATCTGAATTTCGTGGCGAGCGGTTTTACCGCTACTCTCCCGCTACCCTTTGCTGACTCCCTTTGTGGGTGCAGGATACACGAGATCAATTAGATATTGGTTGGCCATGGATACCAGTAAGGTCGAGGGCCAACCGAGGTGTATAATTTGGACCCGAAAATCTCCTAGCGATTATTGGATGTGTACGGAACTTATTTTTCAGGGCTGCAGACCACAGAGCTCACGACTTAGTTATCATCATCAGGGGCACGAAAAGTCCAAAAGCCAGTCTGAGCATTTGCAACAAAGCTTGAAGTATGGGCAAAATGAGGTGATTTAAAAAGATTGCCGATGCCTTCGCAATCTGGAAGTTTTACGCGTGTAGCGGGGTAGGAAAATTAGGCTAAATAATGTAAACTTGAAAACATTCTGACATTGTTTTGAGCATTCCATCTATCCATTATATACTTGCGTAATTTTGAGATGACCAGGTGGTATGTTCAGCACCACTAATTAATGCAAACCAAGATTCCTCAAGTTACAGGTCAGCATTCGTATACAAAAGTAGGTTAATTTTAGAGGTCCCTTGAGAATTCAGCTGAAACCATTCGAGAATTTTAAATGACCAGTGTAAGATTGAAACAGACAACACATTCTTTTACCTTAAGGTAGGGTCACCACTTATTCGAAAAACTATCCTTGCTTTGTTTTGATTAATTTGTAAATAAAGTATCCCAGCTACGTGAATTCATTAGCAAATCAATTTACTCTGTGGATTTATATCGATTATATTCCTGGGTCAGCTGGTAGTCTGAAATTTGCTGTCTTCGGTTTTATAACTGTCGCAACCGGCTGAAAGTACCGAATTTCCACGAGGGATTCAGAAAGCAAATACTCTAAAATTCTACCATTTCACTCAAAAATAAGGGCGCATGTTCCGGACTTTTGCAAATAAGTAGTCATGTAGTTAGGAGCTAAAAGCATTTACTATAAAAAGCTTAGGAGGGTGGACTTTACAAATTAGACCCCTTTTGAGACACATAGGACCTCTGAGTAGAACTTGCACATTGGAATTATTGTTTCATGAAGGTAAAGGGAATTTTTGAAAACGTAGTTTATTAAGAAAAACCAAGCTTGTTTGAAATTGCAATGTTAAAGCTCATGTTGAAATGAAAGATCTCGCGCTGGATGATGGGACTGTAGATGATTCTGAACCTACGTTATTCTCCCTACAAGAGCTCCTGGTATTTGTCTTCAGTTTGTGTTTTCGGCACTTGTAGCACCCAGCAACACTCAGCAACAGTAAAGCAGGAAAGCGAAATCATGTGGTCCCTTCATTTGTCGCTCATGCCGATACGTTTCATTTGGAGAATAGTGAACGGCGACGGTGCAATAGCTCATCCGCCACCTTTGGCATTGTCTATGGTGCAGACAATTTTCACCACCCCGTGTTTTGTTTGCATGCCTTTACACATTGCTACCAGTCAAAGACACTATGAGTCTGATAAAAATTTGTGAAGTAGATTATGCCTCTCCTAGAGCATATGACTGGTGGGCCATTAAGACCATACGTTACTGCTAGAGGGGACTGGCATGTTATTGAAGTCTGGTATGATGACCGATTAGAGTGATATGTGTGTGGCTAAAGGTTACCTAACCATCGTTAGATCTTATCCGTATTTATCTGATTTATTAGAATATTAAGCAACGGAACTAGACGACCATCGATAGTGCTCAAACCATCTTAAAGGTCATTGAAGTTAAGAGTAGTAACGTCAGTGTTCTCAACGCCAAAGCGCTGAGCAGTTGGTGGACAGGAACACCTGGCAGTCGCTAGTTTACAACGACCTCCCATGGAAGAGGAGAAGTCTAGAGAGTTGTCTGAGGTAAAACGTGATGCAACTAAGTAAGTAGCTTCTGAAGGCCGGAGCATCTTTAACAGGTCAAATCATTATGAAATCCTCGACATCACCACCACAAGGACCTTTTCGTGCTCTCATTATCATAATCTTTTCGGCCAATGGTGACGTTGAAGAATGTTGAACTACCAACATACAAGCATCTAAACAACCGAGCTTTAGGTTGGATCCCTCTGGATTTAGAACGTTCAGCCCATGAATTAAACTGGAAGTATGTTATTCTGTCTAGACAGAATCTTTTTCTGCAAAAAGACTCCTTTTGAGGCTATTCTCTCACTAACTCCCGATACATAAACCAATAAGAAACTCCACAAAATTTACACTATCTAGTCTCCGTAAACACACAACTGTCTAGATAAATGAGGAAAAATAGAAGCTCTTTCAGTCTACCGTTGGTCCGCGGAAGCAAGTATGGGCTCCCCGAATGGTTATGTGAACATGTATTAAGACGATCTTTGATGAGTAACTATGAGTTGGAACCTCAATGCGCTTCCATTCAAAATGCACTGAGGATTTCAGCTCGACAGGCGATGAAACTTTCACAACCAAATTGCAAGCTCAGTAAACAAACCAACGGTCAACTGCTAACATTTCGAACATTGGTTCCTCCTCAGTTGACGTGAAAGAACTTGTAGTTCAAGTACTGAGCTCCGCAAACAGAACACAAACTTTATGTTTAAGTCACCAGATTTTTGTGACATTTGGCAACGCGCAACGTTTTCGCGGATAAGTTTCAACGAAAAATGCATTTTTTCTTGATTTTAAACTACAACCGCTATTTTCACTGCAGTGGTCCTACAGAAAAGGAAAACTTTGTCGGTATATAGTTATAAAAAGAGATCCACTTAGCCGTTCCACCATGTTTTGTTTCACCCCGTACTTTCTGGCTGTGTGGTGGACGACAGTTATTGCATATGGACTGAACTTTGATCCGAAACTTGTGATTCAGTCTGCTCGTTTAAGCTTGCATCGGATTTGATCAAACTGGCCTCACCGAGACTAGCTTGGAACTACGTACTTGGCACTGAGTTCGTTGTGCTCGATCGATGAGAAAACTAACATTTTTTGCTGTTCTTACCAAACCCTCCAACCATTGCGTGTGTGCGTGAATTTGTTGCGCATTCGTTGTTGTATGCAAATATGCAGCCCTCTGACATGTTTCAGCCACGTATGTAAAAGCGCAAACAACCATGCGAGACAGAGCATCACAACTACTTGGGATTTCACAGTGTGGTAGGCGGTAACGGTGACGAAACAATTGGTGGCCAACTCAAACAAAACCAACACAGACCGCTGTCTAGGCAAATAGTTTGAATGTACAAGTCACTCGCTCGTGGGTCAATTCATAGGTGCAGACCACATACACTCCCAGCTGTTAGTTTTGAGTACATTGGATAATAATATTGATAATGTGCGCCTACGTTGTAAACGGAAAGCCTAATTTTAATGCAAATTTGTATTGATGGCACCTCCCTATTTCAATTTACAAAATGCTGGATCAGTGAGCCTCTATTAGGTGGTCCACAAGCCTGTGTTAGACAGTTGACATATTTGGTTCAAACATGCACATTAATTGTGCTTGTCAGCTGAAGCATGAAGGTGCTGATTATTTATAAAGGATTGTTGATGACGAAGTGAAATTCAATTTTGGAAGTTGCACGATTCATAATTAACTTCTGAAAAACGCAAGTGACAATTTTCCCTGGGGTAAAAGGCTCCAGTAAGTGGGTTGCAACGTACCAACCAACATGAGTCCGCCTTAGGAGGTGACATGTGATATCACCAGAAAGTACAAATTGTACAACTGAATCTGTCACACCATCATCATCATCATCTGTAGAAAACGGCGTACTTGCCATACAGTGATTATCACTGCCACAGTTCCATTGATCGATGATTTGGGGAGATAGAGTGGATAGCTGCACATTGTAGGAGATTGCTGATTTATAATTAATGAGTAAATACAAGAGCGCCAGTGGAGTTTCTGTTAAGGAGATAGGCAGGTGAGCAATACATTGCAATTAACAGCTTGAATACAAGAGCGTCAGTGAGGGAGCGACTGGGTCAAGTCTGATAATCTCTCCCTTACCCTTGATATGCCCATCACGGGGTCCCCATCCAGGTAGAGGGCAATGACCAACAGAGCTGAGTTTGCTGGCACTGGCTTCCACGCTTCATTGCCAAGTCGGCGTTTGACCTTCCCTGGCACGTTTCCACCCTTCATATGGTTATGCGAAAATCATACGTCGAGGAAGCCAATCGAATGGCATACGAAGTAGGTTCCCAAGCCATCGCAACCTATGAAGGGTGACATTTAAGCTGGCGTGGGTGATTTATTCCTTCCGGAAACCACTCGACTGAAAGTTTTGATGTCTTCAGCACTCAGTGGGAAGGTTTCTTACCTATTGGACCATCCTACTGGATCGTTTGCTATTTCACATTCTGGTTCATTCGATTCCATATCACGAAACGCCTCAGTTGTTTCCAGTGTAAGTTCCTCAGGGTCGTTTGTCTTTTTGATCCCGGTGTAACTGACAAGTCTGATCGAAATATCATAGAAGACCACAACGCCACCTCAACCGATTCATCCGCAAACAGTATTCTGTATCTTGCAGGTGTGAGGCGCACGCCAAACCAAGAGGCAGAGTTAATTAGGTTACTCAATGTGGTCTTCATTAAAATGGTATAAGATTCAAGAAGATTTATGCCATCTGTATACTCGATATGTGAGCAAAAACCCCTAGAATGATTTTGACCCTAAGGGCATTTGATGCTGATAGTGGGTGCTCCACAGTCACATGAATAACGAAGTTGAAAGGTGAAAGGGGACAGCCTTGCCTGGCACCCCTTGATGTGGCGCCACACCTTAACAACTTCTCAACGATAAATTATTAACTACGCATTCTGTGAAGCGCCACACCTTAACAACTTCTCAACGACTGACGATAAATTATTAACTACGCATTCTGTGATAAGTTGATTTTGACTTGGGTTAAGGCAAATATCCCTAAAAAGATCACTGGAATTACATGAAGGTAGTACAGGCCGCGTCAATGTCTTCTCACACAACTGTTCTGTGTTACAAATCTGAGTTGGAGTTACTCTGAATATCGTTTAAAAGGACTAAACGTATGAGCACTAGTGTAGGGGATGTCAGTACAGGGCTTCCTCGTGGATAATGTCAGTGTCAGATACAAATGGAACCATTACAAACTCATTTTGTGACCAAACAACCAGTTTCTTGCAAGCGTCGAACGTACGACCTAAACATTTCAAGTGAAATACACTTTCTGCAAACCACATCAAAGGGACACTGTCACAATTACCGTATATAAATTTTCCCAAGATTTTTAATGTATCTAATCAAATGTATCTGATCATGAAAAGAGGTTCGGTGTAATTATTCTCAACTGAAGCTTAATTAATCAGCAGGCAGAATCATTGCAATATATTATATTTGGCCGATTTCCGTCTGGGTTAGAATGATGTTCCCAATCCACACTAAATAAAGCAAAATCAAAGAAACCCACTTGCAACGTCATTGGTGGGTTCAACAGCTGCCACTCCTCCTCAAAAGGAAAGTGCGAGTATATGAACACGCTCGGATTGGCATTAAAGTAGAACATATCGGTCTCGTATTCCATCTTGCCAACTTTGGCGATCTGCGACAGACGAGCATTTGCACTCATAGCTAGCCGTTCGGCCGCCCACATGGAATCAAACAGAGCCCATTTACCGTCAATGTAGGCTGCATTCCACGCGTGCTGAATCTGATGGATAGGCGATTGCTCACCGGGTTCTGGAGGCATCTTTTGATCGGTCAGTTTCATGCCAACAGTATAGTCCACCCCCTTGGCAAGCCCCTTCACCATTCGGCATGGGATGCCAGAGTAACGACATAAGGATTCGAATGCCTGTCGGAAGAGAAAAGTAAGGCGTATAGAACGAAGAAAGCAAAAATAATTGGATGACTCACTTTATGAAAAACGCAGATGTAAAAATATTTGTTGGAGCCTAATAATAAGGAGATAGTTTATAAGCTGAGATGAATGCTATTTGGAAGACCCAATAAGCCTAGAAATTCGTGTTGAAAGAAAATTCCTAACTAACAGATAAATTCGTGTAGAGTTATTTGTTACAAAATCTTGTTTTAAGTAGGTTTCCGTTTCCAAGAAGTTCGGACTACTTAAATCCTAGCATCTCCCTAAAGTCGTTTTATAAGTTTCGAAAAGGTTTAAGCTAACAAGAATGTATAAATAATCCTGATCGGTTTGAAGCACTGGGCTTTCTGCCGAAAGTTTGTTCACTTTGTTCCGTATTTGTGTAAAATCCAGTATATTAGACCATCCGAAGAATGCTCCACTTTTAACTGTCACAACCACTGAATTCCTGGTTCACCATTTGAAACAAATATAATTCACCGTTGGAGAACTTGATTTCGGTGGCCAATATTGACTTTCCATACTTTTATTTCACACTGTCTACAGATGTCAAAAAAATTAGCCCTTTTTCCGGGGGAAAACGTTCATTCTTACACTGCTATCGTCATTTCATCGGATGACTGTTCATATTGGCTCGTGTCAATTTTTTGGCGTTATTACTGGAATATTAGTATTCCACCGAGCTTTGTTTTCTGCTTGACTTTCAAAATTAATTGCATTTGACATCAGTAGGGACTCTGCAAAAATGATTAGGTTTCACAAATAGTGGGTTCACCTATGGCAAGCTGGCTAAGTTTATTTGAGTTGTAAGCAAGCAAGCAATTCAGACTGATTTGATTCCGATTCACTTGGTCGGTTCGCCCGTTGGCGTCTCTAATTTCTAGCTGTTTGGCTACGGACGACTAGCTACAATTTGCGTCACACAAGGCTTCATGGGTTTGGGCATCCCTTTATGGTTCGATAATTAAAAGTTTGGCTTCACTTGTTTATCACAGTGGTGGCATATATTTTCATGAGTTATAAGAGGCACATAGAACATAAAACAAGCCTCCGGTGGACTAGTGGGCTTGAGCCAATAGATCTTTTGGCGGTCTGGTCCATAAAGTTTTGTGAATAAAATATATGATCTCAAGTCTGACCGAACAGCTTCGAACCTGGTGTGTTACTCGACCGAATATCCCATGGTCTCATTGCCGGAACATTCTCATTTTGTGCTTGATCCGAATACGCAAAATTACTACGGAATGTCAGATTTAATCCAATCGATGGTTATAAGCTGAATGAAATCCAAAATGCACGACAATTGAAATTTCCGCTCCTGGGTGGCTTACGACTGGTCGAAAGCGACCTGTGAGCGCCAAATGTATTGGCAGTAAGGTCCAGTTTATTTATAATAGTCACAGCTATTTTCCACTACCAGGTCTGCACCCAACTAACTTACATCATTATGCATATATTTATGGGAATATTGGAATTTTGGCAGAAACTAAGTCACATGTTTGATGATTAAGCATGAAATCCTACAGAGTGGCATTCACCAAATGACAACAGTCGGTTCACAGCGAAAAAACCCACCATTTAACCTAAACAGGCTGAAAATATTTGATTGCGCATGCCACTCCGAGTCTAGTCGAAACATCAGGGCTAAATGAGCTTCACCGGTGTATTGGATAGGCTTCCTTGTCTCTACACTGTCAAACAACCATTGGGTTCATTCAACTTCAGGAAATGTGGTATTGTCTGAAGATAATTACAACAGATTATAGGCCAAGATTTTAACGAAATTAGCGACCACGCGCTGCATCAATCCAAGCAGTTCTGACAGTCAAGTTCCAGAGGCTGAATTCGATGGACAAAGTCTTATAAATGCTCATCCTTACTTGACTCAAATATAAGTTTGGAAGGTTAACACAACCACCACTGAAGATCTTTGACATTCATAAGCCAAATTTCAGAAAACTGGAAACCGCGAATAAGGTCTGAAGTTCAGCTTACAGACTCATCTATGTTTCAGCTTGGCTTTGACGGAAGACTCACCTGCAACACAGTGAAACTAATCGCGGAATGTCGAAGAATTTTCAGCAACCTTAGGAGTAGTGTATTGCGTCTTTACAATGTATCGCGGTATTCCGAATATCGTAGTCACTGAAACATGAGACAGCCTGGTACAGCTTATCCAGTTGCCTAACAACATCATAAACGAGAGAGTCGGCCAGGTTTCAGGCACCTACCTAATAGGCCCCAAGAAGGACGTGACCGATTCTGGGCTGTCGAACATTTTCTACCAATATTACGCGTAGTGTAATACATCTGTGCAGGGTCCGAATTTCTGCGGAAACTCATTCTTTTCGAAAATGTAAAGTCATAGCTCTTTGAAGAACCCTAGCAGCACCACGAATATTTATCTCGAAACGTCAGCCAAATGTCTGTCTGCCTTGTCTGAGGGAGCATAATTGTGGATCTAAAAACTTTGCTGCTTTTTCCAAGACTTTGCGCGAGAGGAGGTTGTGCTTCCGAGCACAGAATGGTTCCACATCACCATTACCCACAATACAAGAGATGGACTGAATCCTAAGAGATATTATTTTGAGGGAGAAGATTACCTTTGGTGCATACCGTCCTGTTACCAAAGCTACTACTTTTATTGCTAAACTAGGGTTTTGATAACGAGTGTCCACTCAAAATCCGTTGATTTTGGCACCAATATTCAAGTCAACGCCAAAGGAGTAGAGGCGCTTTGGAGTAAAACTTTGGAGAGAACTCAGCTGACAGAATTGACCTTTCGTACCGCGGCAAGTTGTGACGGAGATCATTTTCGCTCAATTAGAATTAGATGAGATCATTTTAAAGGAATAGTTTTTTTAGTCTTATGCAGTAGTGTAATAACAAGCCCCGTGAACAAAATCCAAAAAATTAAATTCTTGGTTATGTTTGAGTTTAAGGAATCTTCGGGATACCCCTTGGCAAGCCTGTCCACTGAATGATGGGACAGGTTTCGTAAAAACCAGACCCCTATGCAAATGCAGACATTGAAGAAAGCCTTCAACCTAGAACTTCAGCAAACTGCGCAGCAGCTGATGTTATAGGCAACCTATCTTTTTCCTTTTTCCCCAATATTTTTTGTTAAGTAAGAAGAATAGAATGCACATACCGTCAGATTCGGCGACCAGGGCGATTGATGATGAAAAAGTTAGATAGTTGTTGTGTAATTCGCTTTCCAATGTAATCATACACACTTTTGCTTCAACCGACTTATTGAAACCACTTCTCAGTGGTGTGCCGGTTGCAGGTCTATTCCATCAAAACAGAGGAGCACCATATGTGTAGGAATCGGACTATCTGTCACTCTGAAAAAGGCCTCCTGGAAGGATGCAGTTTTCGCCGCTCCCATGAATGCACATTTTTCCCGGAGGGCACTGTAACAAGCCCTATTTTTCATCAGTTGTAGGAAAAAACGTCTTGTAAACATACCGTTAAATACACATCTGCAAGTTTTTTATTCGGCATTCCGATCATTCTTAATGTATCTAACCAATTCCAATATGATGCTAATGCAGGGCTTTGTATCGTAATTCTTCAAGAGTACCACTTTCTGCCGTGGTCCTAAGGGTCTCTTAAGAGTAATCGCCTATATAGAGATACAAATTACGGACTTCTGTTGAATCGTTTCCTGTTGTCAACCCCTTGTGGAATATACATTAGTTCCCTGCAGAACATTTGTGTTAGGATATGTGATACTCAAATCCAGGTTAAAACCCAAGGTGTTGGCAGTTGTTTTCGGATTTGGGCACCTTTCAGGAAGGTTAGCAGGCCAGAATTGGCTCGTGTTTTTAGTTTTTCTCTTCCAGCCGCATACAAAGTTTGTATTTTCTGGTACTGGAATTATGGGAGCTCTGCTCGAAACCCGGGGTGGTCACAGTTTTGTCACCAGTCCATTCAAACCAAAGGCTGACAGCGAAGTGTCTGATGTCCATTCTGCCGAGCTCTGCACCAAACGGGATGAAGAGAGTGGACCAAAGCCTAAACAACACGCTACGATAAGTACATGTAAACCCTCAGGGATGAGGGGTCCATCAACGTTTATCTACTTAGAAGGCTCGCCTTAGACAACGAAATGGTACTAAATTTTCACTAGTATTATTATCTGGTAGATGACGAAATCCAATGCTTATAGGATGCAGGAGTTAGCCAACTGTATATAGGCTGTGAACGATAAAATGTTTTTAATAAAGACATTATTTGACTAATAGAACACAACATTCGCTTGTTCAAATATATTTTGTTGACCGGAGGTGATGTTGACCGCATTAATTTGCGCGCACCCATGTAGCTAACAACGGAAAACTTTGCACTGTAGAGTAGCACACTAGTTCACTCGGAATTAGGAGGCCTGAAGTTGGGGTACAAACAGCGGTAGCTGTACATTAGGGTAGAAAAGACTTCAGCGAGACGGAGGATGTTCTACGTGACGAAGTCAAAACATACCACTTACTCGCAAGTAAGTAGATTTTCCGCGAGTAAATTCATTAACCACCACTTCAGGGGAGTCCGGGCTCAATGTTTTTGATTTCAACTTTTTGGCTTCGTCGGCAAATTCAACTCCATCCTTTACACCCTGCTCCAACTCTTCCATGGTGACAAAAGCATCTCGATCTGTCGGGATGGAACAAAGCCAGGAAAATAAAGCCTTCACCTTTGCTTCGTCTGTGTTGAACTCTCGGCTACCAATCAAGGCCCAGTAGAGATCAGCCCACGTGGCCGGTCGTGCATCATTGTGAGCCAGCTCATGGGCAATCTGGTCCACCGTTTGTGGATTGTTTATGTTGACTGTTGTGGCAGGGGTGGGTTTGACAAAGGTGCTCTTATCCAAATTTGGACTGATTTTATCAGGCGACTGTTGTGGAGCCGGGGATGGTAGTTTGCATTTAGTTGGCGCGGGTTTCAAAAGGACAAGTTTGGGTTTCCTCCGTTGAGGTTCGGATAAACTTGCTGCTTCGGTTACCCCGTGATTGGCACTCGGAGCGATGGTTTCCACAACACCCACTGTCAAAAGAAGCAAAATATTTTCAGTCTCAAAATTATTTTTCCGGCATTCTAGTAAATGTAGATCGGTCTCTTCAGCAACAAACTTGATTTCTGTCATACTTGTATGGGCCTTCGAAATGATACATAAGACCGTGATAAAACAAGTCCCATTCCGAAAATACACATCCAATAAGTTACACCAGATGGGTTCAAGTAGAAAACTCGGGAACTACGCCTACCTGATGAGCACCAAGAAGGGCGAAACCGGTCGTGGGCTGTCGAAGAGTTCTTAGCAACCTTGTGAGTAGTTTTCTTCATGAAAACTACACCAGATGGTCTTTGACACTCAGGAATAACGCTAGTTTGGTCATCTGTAAAGATCGTGGCAAAACTAACAAGTGAGTTTTGAAAGTCCTGATAATTGCTACAGAGGAACAAGGTGTTGGTGTCACAAGGGCAGTCCTAATCAAACTGTTTTTTAACGTCACAGCCCTCACAGTTTAAATACTGTTCGGTGAGACTACCATCATAGCAAAATTCTGGACAATGCCTTCCAAATATTAGAGTAAATCTACCTATTGGCAATATGAGCACGGACTTGTGATAAGTCAAAAACTCCAGTTTTTCCCAGAACGTGAGTGATCTATACCGAAAGTTTATCTTTTTCTGGGACAAACAGCAGTGAGTACCTGATGTGTAGATTACAGGAGAGTTAGCGACGGCATCTGGTGCTGTCTAGGATAAAGTTATTCACACTGCTGAATACCTAATCACTTCATTTCTCATCCAGAAGATTGTGTGCGAGTTTCACCAGAGGGTCGTTATCTCCACACTGCTCACTACACAAGGATTATCCAACCACACAAGTTTTTTTTTACTTTTCAGCATCTAGTGACTAAAATTAGAACTGAATCTTCTTTTGGATAAAGAGATTATGGAATAGTCACTAACATCAAATAGAAGAGTCTTAGCAGTTCCCTGACATCCGGTAGAACGATTACGACTCCAAATTTCCAAAGATTCGGTGATCACAGACCAAAGTTATCGGCAAACCCTAACCTCAAACGTATGAGAAGAGCAAACGGAATTAATTCGGCACTGCTTTAACCCCCTTCATATTGATCGAAAATCAGAAAAATTCCAAAAATTCTTATAGTTTAGAAAAATGATTCATTCAATGATCGGAATGCCAGGTATTCAGCACCGTCGATTTGATAGTGAGGCTGGCTTCCTGATCCATGCATCTGAATAAAACCATTCGTTAGTCACTAAGATAGGCGCATTCAAGAGCTCATCTCCATGTCCTCTGTAACCCATAATTTTTGGCAACTTGACTATACAAACCAGCAACGGAGCCCCATCTTGAAAGTTACGATTTTAGCCTAATTTTAAGCTAAGAGAAAAATCTTTTTAATTTTTCAAATTCCGTCAATATCCACTCCAAAGCAAATAGTTTTTACTCCCATACTTTTCCAACCAACTTCAGTCTTATTGAAACTGCTGGCGTTATTCCTGTTACTCTCCCAGCCTCAACGGGATATATCGCATAGAATTTCGCAGTCCCGTGAGAGTTACCCTAGAAAGTGCTTGATAAAGTGGCACAACACGGAATCAGCCACAGTTCGGCGAAAGAGGGTTTTCCGCATTTTGAGCTGATATTCAGACTTTCAAATTAGAACAAAAAAGGGCCAGTTGGCGGTCATGAACCGGTCAAAATGAAATGCACTCTTCAACATCATCAAATGTCGGCATCTATCCCAATCAACTGAAAAGGACTCATCAGGTGGATTAACTAAGGGACGTGCTTGTTAGGTGAAAGCGTCGGATGTAGACTGGAGAAAACCAAAGTCAAATAAACTAGTTCGCGCAAAAATAAACGATATAGCACAAGGGCACGTGAACCTGCCAATACCCACTCAAGCTAGGGACCAGTGAAACTGCACAACTTGTCATGCACAACCGATCATTATGAAGTAGACTGGAATCTGGTCAGACTATCGAACACAAGAAAAACTATTGAAATCCCCAGCTATTTTCACGTATAATGCAAAGTTTCGAAATGAAACAACATTAACAGAGTCTTCAAACTAGCAGCTAATCTCCTAGGATCCTTAAACTTTCTTACAATCTTAAACAGACGAATTTTTTTCACACAGATTACTGACATAACCAGTCATTCGTGACGATTGACGTCACCTAACAACTATCCGAACTACCGCGTTTAAATTATCACAATCGATTTTCACCGAAAAATGCCAATCTCATTTCGATCAGTTCATCGTCCACTCGCATAATCATGGATCAGACGAATGAGTGTGATGAAAGTGAGACGTGTTGCAACTAGTAATCTTGGATATCGTTAAGGACCTATAGCGACCGGAGTTTATTTTTGGGTTTATTGACTTTACGTATGGCAAATCAAATAAATCCGTATCTGCTGATCCATTTCGGCCCAGATGCACTGAGTAACTGGTTAAGTCTTTGGGCGGACAGCTGACGAACTGGAAAACATACAGACTAACCCTTTTTAGTTCAGATGAAGTCAGAGGGAACTACATAGGTCTAAGAAAATATGTCTGTCCAAGATAATTGTGAGCATATATGAGCAAACACTTCGAGCTGACAGTAATTTTGAGGTTATTTTCATCTCACAATGAATTTAAATCAAACTGGTCCCAAAATACCAAACAAAGGAACGAGTCCTTCAATCCGGGACATTTACTAAGTGTAGTTGATTAATACTCTCTACCATGGGAACCTCCAGTAGTCAGACATCAGCAGCGCAGACTGGTTCATTTAAACCATGCGGAACAGTTAGGATAACTTGAGTTATTATGAGTAGGCCCAGGGTGCTCTCCGGCTAATGTAACTCACTGCGCAACTAAACGCCTTTAGGCTCGGTTTTGTCGAGTTTTGACTTGATCTGGTATAAACAGTTCAATGGGTTCAGTCTTACCAATACGATTGTTGACTCCAAAGGTGACCTGTCAAATTTGAGGATGTTTCAGGAACAAGGCTCAAATCGGCCAACCATACTGCTTAAACAAATCAATCAAACTACGAGAGTCGTCGTCAGTCAACTGACGCTGTTATCGAGATACTGACGTTTCGAAGGCCTTGTCATGTATCAGTTTTTCAACCCTTCTTCAGTCTTCTGTGGGACTCTACTTATCTGCTAGAAATATTTTAGGACGTCTATAGGAAATCTGCTATATCACTTATTCCACAAATATTAACCTGGAAGGGATTCTGAAAACATCAGCCAGCCAGATTTTGATAGCTAGTTCTAGAAGAAGGTTTTGCATGGATCTGGTGACATCGAGTCCATAATCTCAAAATGCAAGGGTTCAAGGAATACTCCACGATGTACCTGCTAAAGAAACCTGAGAAATCAATGAAGTTAGCAGTTAGAGTATTAGAAACAAAGTAAGATACAACCGACGCTTTAAGGGCACATTAACTCCATTCATACTATATATCTATATTATTATTATAATATCTTTTTATATTTTTTTATTCCGGCACGTCTCAGGAGTGAAATTTCGTGAAGATGGTTGTTGAACTTCACAAGGTAACCTGGTAGAACTGTTAAGGCATCTGACTGGATGCCAAAATGAGATATGCCACTTTCTTAGTAATGGCGGAAGTTGAACGCCTATTGGAATATGTTATTTTGTTATCGCGTGCACTTCTTATTCTTGTCAGATCATCGAAATGATTTTATCGCAAACTTTCACAGAGGTGTCGTTCGTCCAAAGTAGATTTCTGGACTTGCTCCAGTAATGAGGCTACCAGAAGCTGTTGGTAGTAATGGAATGAAACCTTGGCAAATAGTCAGTACGTGCCCGTTCAGAAGTGCACAGGAGCACAAAATGTAAAGGGTTCGCATAACCAGTCGTGGATGACAAACAATCCGTTTTGCTGGTCACCGAATAGCACCCTGGCCAATAGAATCTTGCTGTTTTACACAGCAATACCGGCCATAGAGCTCTCCCTAAAGAGTACTGAGGATCATAACTAGACATCATCTTATCTGAGTTCGCTTATTTACGTAGTTCAGGGATTTCATTTTTGAGTTCATTGCCTGGCTTTTGAGTGAAAATTAAAGGCTAGGGTATTCACGTGGTGGTTCCCCTAGCACTGAACACTGACAACATATGGGACAATTCCAGTTCCACAATAAGGCTGGGTTGCTTTTTGTTCAAGCCATTTGCCCAAATCAGTAATCCACCATGGTTGATTCATTCTGCTGTAAGATACAACCCCTACAGCTTTCAGGACATTTTCAGCCTGACACGAAACAAAAGCTTGGGGTGATCTCTTTCATCATCAAAACAAATTAGACCCCGAAGGGCATTGAGGAATTATTCATAGAGGTTTCTATCCACAATTTTGCGTAAATCACAGCTGTTCGAGACAGGTGATGAACCTAGCATTGCGTGAATGATAAATATTTAACTGTTTTGTGCGTCTGTGCCCTCATTCAAGGTGACTTTTAAACAATCGTTGAAACTGTGTGAAAGCTGCTAGGAAAGGCTGATTTGATAGGCTCAGAAAAATTAATCTCTTTCAACATATTTGGTTAAATTCACATGGGATAAGAGACGTTCAGTCAGATTGCAGCCGTGTGGGACCTCCATTCATCCTCTTGACTTTGCACACATACAGCCTTCAGTCACGAATATTCCGAAAAATGGTCTATTCGCAAGTAATCAAACGGTCTGAACAATTTAACGGTACTGGATTACTTTGACGGCTGGATGCACACATGCACGATTTCAGTGAACTTCTTGCATGAACAATCAGATAAGTACAGTCGCGAGCTAGACTAATGTTCCGTAACTATTCGTCTGATTTTTTAAAATGTCATCAATGGTAGGAGACTTAGGTTTGGTAAGATACCATGTGACCAACAAGCTTGACATTTCCAGCTCCAAAAGTTGTTTTCCTGTCTAAATATCATTTGGAACAGTCGACATTGTACAAGATAGTCTGTGAACGAGTATTCAAAAATCAGGTTTTCTGAAAAAATGGCTCTGTATACAGCAATTTTAACAGTTGACATCAGCAACAATCAAGGATCCACTGTTGATATAACAAACGATTTGCTTAAGCCCGCTGATTAGCTTGGAATTCTGCAGACGTGGAATTTTCTCATTTCTCAGGTAGCTCAGTTAACAACATCATGGATTTGTGCTTCTGTGAGCCTGGTTTTGTTCTTTTCACAAGTCACTTGCACCAAAAATCGAATTTATTGATCAGTGCTGTCCGAACCACTGAACACTTGTACACGAATGAGCACTTTGTCGCGCTAAGTTCAAGTTCTTGAAATAATCTACTTTGATCAGTTGCAGTATCTGACATCAGCATGATGATCCTGCTTTGTTCTTGTGAAAGTTTAGAATTTGAGGACAGAAACTGGTCTCCCTTCAGAAATGATGCATTCAAAACATGCATCCATATTATTTACTTAACTAAGGAGAAGATAGGTGCCTGACTGGAGTTTTCTTCGGCCATTGGTATTTATGTAACTTGCTGGTGAGTTAAACAGTGATATAATACATTAGGTGCAGATGAAACCGGCTGAATATACGCACAGCAAGTGCTTTAGCTAAGATAAGTGGCTTTCGTAACCAGACCTGTATTCAACTTTAGCGTAAATAAAACACTGACGGTCAATCGGGGATATCAGCTGCGAGGTGGGAAGGTAAATCATGGTGACTCATCAATGGCTTTCGCCGTCCTTAAAGAGTTGGTAAATGTATCGTATAGTGAATAGGACCGCAGCCTTAATGGCGAATTAAGCGTGCCGACCATTCTCCAAAGACTCCTGGATTTAAAATCAAGCTTTTCTCAGGCACATTGTGAGTAATGAAAATGTTATTGCCATTTATCATAAATTGTGCAGGGATATCTAGAAACTCTGGAAACATGGCACGGATGACCAGATTACAAGCTGGTAGCGAGTCTTTCATCGATCTCAATTATGCCTCAGCACACGATATTTGGTGTCCAGCAATTAATTACCTCGTTTTACTTACAGCGCGAAGTCTAATGTACTGTGATGCATTAGAAAACAGAATCGCTAGTCAGTGCAAAAAACAACATCTACTTAATTAGGAAAAATGCCTATGACGCCTCTGATTTTACTCTCCCGACGGATCAATGGTTGCAATAGCGCAGTCTCCGGTCAATATGTACCAAAGAGCTCCACAAGCAAAAAAAGCAAAAAAAGAAACTGACAGGATGCAACGGTATTGCTTTGGCAACCGTTCGATCCATTTGCCTGGGCGGAACCCTCCTCTCCCATGGGTAGAAGCTGCTTATTAATGGAAACTGCGTTTTACGCAACTGTATTTTATGGTGCTGTTTGGTTCTGTTGAAAACAATTTGGTTGCCTAGACACAGGAACGCGTAATTAGTGAGACGAACCAGTCAGTCCAGAAATTGTGTTTTGGTCACATCGGTTGGTTAATATTAGTCCTGTGAAGACACGATGTTTGCCCGTTTGTGTCTGAAAAAGTGTGTGCAAATCATGGAAGCTACATGCATAAAGGAAGTTGCAAACTTATGAAATGTCTCTTTAAAATACTCAATACCGTAATAATCAGTTGATCATGAGTCAACCGGGCAAAATTTTCCGTACAAAACGACGATCAGCGAAACATCGTCCATTTCAGGTCAGGATATTGTCTTCGTACAACAACAAATATCGTGAATTCAGATCCCAGGCTAAATTAGTGAACAGCATGGGTGTACATGGGACGGCCTCTTTCGAGATATGCACTAGTTTTAGATGCAATTTAGACTGATGGTTAGGAGCAATGGTTCTTATATCGACTAAAATGTATTGGAATTTGGCCGTTATTATTCTATCAACTGGAAGGTAATATGGGGCTTAATACGTATGAGAAATTCATTAACTAGATCACGGTATCTTCCACCCAAATCCTCAAGTTTTGTTAAGGATGCTTAACACATATTCGCGGAATAGCTCAGAAATTTGCAGAGAACAATTTACCGGTATGTTCCAGGGTTCCCTAGTCAAGACTTGTCATAAGGGGCCATGAAATCTAAGATAGTTGTAAGAGATGTATGGAGGACGGAAGACTTTGGGGGAATTCCGATAATCAAGTGCACCAATCTCTCAACGTTTATAGCTAAACGCGTCACAACTACAAGTTTCCAAAAGCACCACCAACGATCAGTACATGAAACCAGTTAGTTGCTACAACAAGGGACTCGTCAATAGAGTTTGCTTCACTACACTTTCATAGAAGCTTTAATTGCACGATGTGTTGCCATAAATCAGGCACTAACTATGGGTTGCATTAAGCATAAACTTCCCGTCTCCCATCTCATAAGGGCAAGAAAGTGAAGTTTCAATTCATTTCCAAACGCATCTCATAGAAATTGGGTGTGCAAACAATGAAATGGAGACTCGAAAATAGGAAGAGCATAAACTATGACAGAAAAAGCCTTTCCAAGGCGAAAAACACGATTTTCAAGGCACATGGATAAGCCATTTTGTTGACTACTTGGCACAAGGGATCGGTAGGCACTGGTTATTTATTAGCACTGCGTTGAATGGATGGATGTTTTTTCACTGGTTGTTGGTTTGTTCTTAATTACCACCTCGAAGAATAGAGAAACAACTAACCAGCACAGCCGAACTAGCCAAATTAGGCGGCATCGTTGGTTTAGAGTGTCAGCTCAGAGATGACGCAGAATCATCAGGCGGCGTTTACTAAAAACTCGTGTGTGTTATGGACTGAATGAGTTTGTTTGGTGAGGACCTATTTCCTTCTGACAGATTTGACATTGCTTTTATCTAGCTGCTACGGCACAGCGGTCTGATAGTAGATCTCGCTAACGTAGCGAAACAAGAAAGTACAGCTTATTTTGTCGTTTTCAAGGACCGATGGAAAGGAATAAAAACCCATTCAAATTCCTAATCAATATCATGAGTTCTATTTAAGTGTTGACCGGAAGTGAATTCAGTATCCACATGTGTGCTTTAAACTCGGGCTTGAAATTAGGTGTTCGAGCCTCGCATTGTACTTGAGGTGTGATTGTTGGTCTATTCAGCTGCCAAGTAATGCGAACAATCAGCTGACCTCTAGTCAAAAAGTGTCCTCTGATCAGCCTTCATTCCTGATGTAGGACCTGATAAATCTCAGGTGTGCTGCAAATTTTGCCGAATATATGAGGTGGAATTGCGGTCGGATGTCGGAAAGTCCAACTATATGAGCGCTTTCTGGTTAAGTAAGACTCGTCGGTAGCGCTTTGAGAGGTGGGACGCGAAACAGTTTCATCAGCATGTTCGGGCCCCAACTTGTTGGTCTAACAGTTTAAGAGATGTTTGGATTTCGGGTTTTCGCCGAGATATTCAAAGATACTCATCAAGCATTTGACAAAATATAGAGTAATCCCATGAAAACGTCAGGATTTCTAAACACGCCGAGGTTTAAAAATTGGTGGCAGTAACCTCACTGAGCTAACAAAAACGGAATTGCGTTTGCATCCGTCTTAATTGCCAAAAAATTGTGCGCAAAGCACGCATGGCATGGGCAATGCCACCAAACATTCGCTCACCTTCATCTACTTTGACCGTCTCCTTTTTCGCGGATTGCTTCTTTCCCTTTTTGAGAGGTTTTGGTGTTTTTGTTTGTGGTATTGCATCGGCATCCTGAATGAAAAAATGATCACAAACTCGTTAGTTACTGAACTAGATTGGTGCTGAAAAATGTGGGTAAATGAGGGTAACATAAGCGCAGGGCCACACGATCAGAGTTAAGTCATCTGAGCATATCTTTTTCACATATTATTTTTACTTCACAGACGGTGCCTAATCATAGTTGGTAAGAATAAACATCTAATTGGATTTTGCCTACATTCCTCACTCGTGTGACGAAGAGACAAAGGAGGCACTGACTGAACGGAATCGAGCCTGTGAAACACATATCGCTTCTGAAGTAGTGCTCACTCGACCAGATGAATGCCGCTGTTATTACAATACCTTTTTATACTCTGACCAGCTTAAGGAATGAAATGTTTCAAAGCGTATTTGGTCTACACAAGTGCTGGGGAAATGACAGAATTCATATACAAATCAGAAAAATGCGTAATTCAGCAAGGGAATCTCATCCCCCAAGTTTCAACAGGGGCTAGAATGAAGCATTCAGTGACCATACCAGCAATTGTGGCAATGAACAGAGTGTCAGATGCCGAACGCGAAGAACCTCACGCAACAAAGACACAAGGACAAACCTTACTCCACTTCTGTCTACTATGTCAGCATTAGTTACCGGGAAAATGCAACAGAAATGCACATAGTCAATAACACTGGATCAACTAGCAAGAAAAGTCAACTCAAAAGTAGACTGATGTACTCTTCGAGGTAGATTCTCAGCAAATAGGCAAGTGAAGATAGTGAATGGGCAGTAAGCTAAGGTAGAATTTGTGGCTGCGATGCATCAAGCTCTAAGCTAGTCTTATAAGAAAACCGGGCTACTCAGAACATCGCAGAAGTTCTCTATCTGGTAATCCTGCCGGGTTAATTTTTTATTTGCACCGCGTGCGGGAAGTTCTCATGTTGAGATTAAGGTGTGCAGAGAAATAGTTAAATACTTGATTTACTTCCGTGAGTCACGAAAGTCGTAAAATCAGGGACATGCTCCAGTCAGCAAGTTTTCTTCAAGTTGGTCTGGGAATATCACAAAAGAACAGTATGTCTAGTGGAAAGAAGAAACGCGATAAGATTTACAAACGAAACGGTAATGAGTAGCAATGGTGCCGTTGTCTAGGAGCTCAAGATTCAAGTTATCGGACCATGGGGAAAACTAGTTTAAATACAACGGAAGATCAGTTTTGTTGGTACGATTACGCCAAATTCGTTCATCTTGATCAGCATCAAAGACAACAATCCTCAACCATAAGGCCATGAATACACTTACCTCAATTGGAGACGCAATAAAGTCTCAACAATTATAAAGCGTTTGTAGAACAGAATTTTCCCTAAACCACCGGAAAGTGTGTCCAATCTGGTTGGTAAAGCCAAGTTTTAAACTTTTTCATTATCAACGCTTTCATACTAATTATATGGCTCCTCGAATAGATAAATATTATGCGGTACGAAGGACACCGTACTTAACAAGGGAATTTTTCTGTTGTCTTTGGAACTAACACATGAAGAAGTGACACTCAGAAACAGAACGTTCTTCCATGACTGGATTTGCCCTTGTTTTTGAATTCACCAGAAGCAGCCATCAGGAGGAAGACACCAGATAAATTAATTAAAACGTGTCTCTGTTCTGGTTCACAGATTTAGAAAACCAGAATGTGTGTTTATCAAAGGCACCCTTTTCCGGTTCACATACTTGTCATATTAAGTACCAGATAAATTAATTAAAACGTGTCCCTGTTCCGGTTCACAGATTTAGAAAAACAGAATGTGTGTTTATCAAAGGTACCATTTTCCGGTTCACATACTTGTCATATTAAGCGCATGAGAAACAACTAGCATTTTACATCTCAAGGCACTTTGGTTAATATAGCTAGGCATTCGAGCGCATAGTTTTTGTCGGCTTTCCGCTTACAACATCGTTAATTTACCGACTTTCATTTTAGCAATTTCTAGAAATTTTTTTAAATACCCGGTCAAATATTTAGAATTCTGCTTTCAAACAATCCATGGCACTCACGACAGGTTTACTTCTGTCTTTCCAAAACACTCCGGAGAAAGAAGGAATCAGTCAAAAATCGATGGTACCCAGAATTTAACCAGCTGACAAAGCAGATAAAGGCTAAATTCATTGGCTGAGCAGAACCTCCTGCAACCTCTGGCTTGCACTATAATCTGTTGAGTTATGTTTGGGCATCTTGGGAAATCGCGGGGGACTTTTCCAGTCTATTTCTATTGTTAACTCCGTTGCTTGGCTTGTATGCATATAGCCTCGTAAAACCTTATCAGTCTTTTTAATTGGTTCTCCTCCGTCGAAATACTACGGACTTGCAAGTGCGCCTCATATTTTTGATTTCGGCTTTCCCATCATTCAACAGTAATGAATCGATAAGTTTGCTATCTCAGGATTACACATGCCTCTGACAGTTTCAATCGAGTGCTGGTAGTTAAGGTTTTTGGTGGAGGGTAACAGATAGTGTTAGGTTTAACATATATAAGCGGCTTTGCTGATCCAACAATTTAGCCGTTTGGATAGTCGAAATTCGCGCCCACGTGATCAACTTTTATTTCTGCCCCGTAATCTCAGCTGTGTCTATCAGGGTATTGTGGATGGTCGTGGGCTCAGAATTTAAGAAACACGTGTGGAACCAGGTGGGATTTTTGAGTACTTCCAGGAACGTTTCATTTTTCATGAAACTTCCTACTATGAGAAATATAAGTTTCTCCCTATTTAGGTAAACACAGTGGTTGTTTTATTGATATCGATCTCCAGGTCATGCTTGAAGACCTTCTTACAAGACAATCTAACGCATGATAACTCGGAGTTACATGATCGAAACCCCATGTGTTCCCCTCACTCTAAAGCTGTTTTCACCAAAGAAATTTAAATTTGTTCACGTAAAGTCAGATTGAGATCGTAATGACAAAAATTTAAGTCATAGTTTCCATTTCAGTACTGCATGTTTACACAATGGACTTGACATTCTAAAATGTTAAACTCCAGTCACAATAAAGTGCCACGGAAGTCAAGACAGTTAAAATCCAAATCTGATAGGTTAGCTAGTGGGACTTTGATCGGAAATTGCGGAGGCGTTGTCAGATATCTGTTTTTTAATGTTGGATCAAGTAAACAGTATCCCAAATACCGACTGCGTTCTTAGGTATTACCGGACGAGACAAGTTGCAAGTTTGCGACAGTGGTTGGCTACAAATACTTTTTCAAACTCAATCCTCGAAGACATATTGCCGGTTCTCGCCTCAAATGTGATTTTTACTGGCAGCATCGCTTACAGGAACAGTACATCCGTTAAAAAGCAAACAAAACATATACGTCGTATCATTCACACCGATTGTATGAGCAACCCAAGAGTCGTTTCGCGTCACGTCCCGAGTACCTCACACATCCTCTTTATCCATCCAGTGGCGTGGCAGTCGGAACAGGTTTACAAGATTGCATGCTTACAAGGACGGCTTGCCCAAACTCCAGTCATATATACTTTTCTGTTTGCAAAACCGCGCGAAGGGTGGAAACGAGCCACAGGAGGTAAGAAAATGGCTTCAAAACGAAGTATGAAAACTAATACTAGCAAACTCAGCTGCGTTGCTGATCGCTCTCTCCTTGGATGGGGACCCACAGACGGGCACATCAGTGGTTAGTCACATTGTTAGATATGGCCTAGTTGCGCCCTCATGGTGCTCACGCACCCAAGTTATAGTCTTTAATGCATAGCTACCTTACGAACCCCTCCAACTTAAAAGTCTACTGACAGATCTGTATTTGGGTACCAATTTATCTGCTCCCGCCTCCAATGAGGAGGCAGCCACCTGGTTCTTACAGCTGATAATGATGGTGATTAAGTCCGTTTGTGCGACCGTTTTCACACAAGTAATCTGGAATGCACTAGTGAAAATATCATTTAGATAGGTAAAACACCAGAGCGACTCAAACAGCTGGCTGCTATACACTGGTTTTGTTGTGTGGTTCTATACTTTGTAAGGACCTATCCTCTAGATGGTTGTGTTTTCATATCCGAACTTACAAGTTATATTCCTAAGAATTCCAGATTATATATTGCTGGCTAGAATCTGTTCCCGTAAGATGACTAACTTATTCATCGGTGTGATGTGAGAATGGCAATGTTCTTGAAAATTCTCGTGCAGTCCACTCGGATCACTCAATAACGGGACGCTAGGTTACCCATTCTTGAGCAGAACACAAGTTATAATCCCTGAGCTGAAACGCTGAACTTCCTCTCCGTACCGTCTGGATGCGGAAAGTTTCAAGAACTCATTTAGGTTTTGGTGATTTGTTTATGTGCACTGTATCTGTGGAATTTATCCTTCGGAATAAATAAATATTGGGGTAATTTCATTCATGTACACAAAATCCCTTCGGCTAATAAATGTTAATTAATTCTGTCATCCTGCTTATTAAAGCTGTCCAATAAGCTGTGTATTTAACGTTACTTGCCTTATTCTCAAATGGATACGCTGAACTTCCAATAAAAATATGGAAACCACCGAATGAAACACTGATGATCTCCCACCCTGGGGAGATCATATCAGCAAACTGTATGTGACGAATTCTGTGGAACGAGATTCCATGTGCAGTAAGCATGGACTAATTTAGGTTTTATCCGATTGCGGTACACCATAAGGTGACCCCAGTTACCGACGAATGCTTGATGATGATTCCAAAAGGATCATCCACGGACACGTGATACTGGATATATTTTTTTGGTTGATTTTGTTCCCTTACCATTGAGTGTATTTTTGGTTTGCTCTGTATGTAGGTCAACAAAATACTGTAATAAAACCACAAGGGAAATGTGCGTTGCCCACCAAGTGCGTTACTCCAGCGATAACCTGAACACAACACGAAAGTAATTCATCTAATTCGAGTCTCTTGGGGCTAGAAAGTTGTTGGAACCAAAGGGAACTCACGCGAAAGCGTATCAGTAGACGTGAAAGTGTGTACAAATGTAGGTTTGCACATCTGCAAGGAG